GTGCAGGCAGCGCGCTCGCTGTGTGAGGTGCTGGTTTATTTCCCACACGCTCTGCCCTGCGGTGTCTCGTTCCGAGTGGCTGACCCGAGGCTGCGGATGCTGCAGTTTGTTCTTGTTGTTTTGACTTGTGACGCTAACTGTTGTTTCCCCCCGTGCCAAGAGCATGCGCCCTTTCCTACTGCCCTCCCGGCTCTGTGAGGCTCTGTTAGCCCCTCTCGCCCTAGAGCTTTTGCAGTCGCTTTGGTGGTTTGGGTAACCTCAGTGTGTGGGCCGGGCTGCCTCCAGGCCTCCAGCCTTCGTCCTGGCACTGCCCTCCCAGGGGGCTCCTTCCCGTCTCACCAGCTCCCATGCTGCTTTCTGACTGCTGTTTGGCTACTTGCCAACACTGAGCATGCCCAGAGAGCTGTGCCTGGCGCTCCGCGGGGCGCAGGCCTCCCAGCCTCCAGGTGCCCGCGCTCTGTCCTGGGTCGTAACTCCGGGTGTGAGAGCTTCGTCACCAGCTCCTCCAGCCCGAGCCCAAGCCTGTTTGGATTTCGGGAGTTCTTTTTACTGGGGCTCCTCTTGGTGGACCTTTGCCCGCCTCGTCTCCTTCACCCTCCACGCACCCTCCAATGAGCTCAGGCCAGAACAGAGGGTCAGCAGCAGTTTGGGAGGCCCCAGGGAATGTGTCCACCCCTTCGTCTCCATCTGCTGGGTCCCCGGCGGCCTGGGGAAGGTCCGCTGGCAGAGGCGGGTCTGGGCGTGCTCACTGTCGGCCCGGCGTGGGCTGGGCGTGGAGGGCTGCTGCTGGGAGGGGGGGTCTGGGCGTGCTCACTGTCGGGGGGCCGGGCGTGGGCTGGGCGTGGAGGGCCGCTGCTGTTTTCTCTCACTCGTTTCCCAGGTCTTCTTATCTCCTCTCTGTGTGGCTCTGGTGACAGGGACGATCCGTAAGGCTCAGAACCTTCTGAAACAGTATTCCCAGCATGGTCTAGATGGGAAAAAGGGGGGCTCTAACCTCATTCCTCTGGAAGGTAATCACCCCGTGTTCCTCTCCCGTTCCCTCCTCCTCCGTCGTGTGTTCACTCCCGCGGCAGGGCAGAGCCTCCAGCCCCAGGAGGGCCTCGGGGGGAACCCTGAGAGGGGACGGGTGGGGCTGCCCGTCCCTGTGCCACTCGCTCCAGCTGGTGCAGGGACAGGTTTCGTGGCCTTGGCCTGGTCCTGTCTGGCTGATGGCAGCTCTGCCCTCCCTGGGGCTCCCCTCCCCCTCCCCTCCCTGTCTCTGTCCTTGTCTCCTGTTTGAACTCAGAGAGAGTTCTTTGCCGTGGGCAGCCCTTTCATGCTGAGATCAGCGGTGGCAGGACCAAGCTGGCCTAGGCCTCCTGGTCACCCCCAACTTTATAAGGGGGGAGGGGGTGCAGCAAGGGGACAGGCAGCAGGTCGGCACATCCCTTTCTCATGTCAGGAGAATAGCCCCCCCCCCCCCCCCCCCCCGCCCGCCCCCCCCCCCCCCCACCCACAGCGGGGG